GTATCATAGCTTTTAGATACGATGGCTAATAGACATTGAAACGTGTTATATATGTAAAGGTTCTTTTATGTTACTGCTGTAAACAAAATTTGATGTTTGAGAAATCTACCATAAATCTATGCATTATTGAATACCGATATCGATACAAAATAAAAGTTTAATAGTGGTATTAGTGAGACATATATTTACTATACCAAATTTTCAAATTATTAGAAAATTAGAATTAAAAATTTTAATTTAACATTGTTATTCTGAATTAAATTTTTAAAAAATCTAATCAACGGTATATTTAAAAGGCATATAGATATATTCTTCGTTTAGGCTTTGATTGATGAACGAAGACGAAGCTAGGTTTCGCATTTTGTCAAAGCGAAACCTCCAGATTTTATCTAGCAGCTATAGTTCTTTTTCTAAATATTTTTTCTTGTAAACTCTATTTATTTAAGAGAAAAATCTTGTAACCTTTTTTTATCACGAACTTTACCAATGTTCGAATGCTCGTTCTGAGTATAAAAAGTAGATGATTAAATTTCATGTAATTCAGTAGAAATATGATAATAAGATATTATAATGATATATTTCTTTTGGCGGAATAAGAAATATAGATATCTCAGATTTTGCATAACAACTATAAGCTGGCTCAAATAATACTAATTTCGCGTTGATATTCAAAATATTATTCTATGCACAAATTATTCTTCTGTGTACTATATAATTATGCGAAATCAACTCTAATATGTGAAATAAATAAAATAGAATTTATTTTAATAACAGATAGATTAAATTTACTTCTCTCGGAAAAATCTTTTATGAATAAGGCAATATCTTAAGTGCAGCTATGTGATTGAGGTATTACGATAACATGTATAGTATAGTCGGTCAAAGGAGTATAGTATACAATATTATACGGAATGCATATTATTTATTGAAAACTTTTCATTAAGTATAAAATTTTAAAATATATTATACATTCCGTATAATTTTGAATTTTGATAAAAAAAATTATACACTTAGTATAATGTATAGAAAAAAATTTATACTTGTAATAAATAACTTCGATTAATAATAAGGGTTAGTAACACATTACATGGAAATCGGAGAATCGGGAATAATTAATTTTTATTCTAACATTGTTTATGTTTTTTTCGAGATTTTAATGAAGATATCTTAGTAACGATGGTGTTCGGAGAAAATCTCGGAGATTTTAGATTGTTTGTTGTTTTATACTTTCGAACGATTACGTTTATATTTCTTTGAAATCGACAAATTCTTAAATCTCCGATTCATACGGATCTGTAGAGGCCACATCTTTTTGCAAAGCACAATAATTTAAATGTTTAAGGCTATTTTCGAATCCTATTAATTTATAGAATTCGAAAATGGCTTCGTTCAAAATTTGAAAATGCTGATAAAAAAAGAAGCTATTATTTGGTTATACAATAATAGACATTATACTAGAAATTAGTTTTCAAAGAGAATCTTTGGAATATTATGTTTGGTGACAATATGGGTATTACAGTAAACTGAAAAGTGCAGTAATAAAAAATAAAAATAAAAATAAAGAACAATTATACATAAATAGAATCGAGCAAAATATTCTGTGCTTGGATTCTAAATTGCATAAATTGTGACAGAATTCTAAATCAGTTAATTTGTTAGAAAATTTGAGTTCAATTTAATAAGTGCCGATATATTGACTTAAAATTGACAGAATTAATTAATAATTTTTATTATTGAATAAAAGTAAGCGGGGTGTTCTTAAAATTACACATAAGGCAATTGAAATTTTTTAGAATTAATCTTTCTTTATAAGCAAGTAAGAGGCATTACAGATTCAATTAATTTCTTTGTCCTAAAAACGATCTTTAACGGTTTCGATAATTGTATTTAATGAATCTTGAAGAAATTTAATATGGAAATCATAATATTTTTGTATAATACATTAACAGATTTATTTTCAAACGCATTACGAGATAAGATGGATGTTCTTGCAACTCAATCGGTTTAAAAAAATTATAGTATAAAGCAATGACGAATAAGAATTTCAATCTTTTTATAAAATTTAATTCGATCTCGATGTACAGCAGTTATACATAATGTATAAAACATGATTCAAGCTATACATTATGTAAATAAATGCCATAAAAAATATACATACTGTATAATTTAAACCGCAAAAGTTATACTTTCGGCATATTTACTATATATAATGTATACCAAAGTTTACTATACTCATCTAACAGGATATACTATACTGGTTTACTATATATTCGTGTGATTGTGATTCTTCATGTCTACTCAAAATTATTTTACCATCTAACCACGTTGTAGAGAACATTGAGTCAAGTTCTCTCTAATTTACTAAAAGAAATCAAATATTCGTGATTCATATTTGTATAATTGAACTAAAATTCTTTAATGTAATCTATATTTTTGTTTGTATTATAAGTCTTTTATAGACCTATAAATGTGTGTTTAAATTATTTGAAAAAGGTATTTTGGCAAACATTTCAGTATTGTTACATTTTTTTTTTATATGAAACTCACCAAAATAATATACTATAAGATAGATATATTTGATAAGTGAGTTCATAAAATTTCGGCAAATATTTTGAATCAGTATCACTTATCTTTTTTTAAAAAAAAAAAAAAACGTTCAAAAACTCTTGCATCATCTTTATTTTTTCATTATGATGTGAACAAGATACTTATAAATCCGTCTATTATTGAAACTAAACCTGTATATCGAGAAAAAAATACATAAGCTCGATGTAACTTATGAATATTTATGAGATTCAGCTGATAATTTCACTTATAATGTGAAAAAAAGTTCAGTACAATTTAGATTTTAATAATAAATGTCTTTCTAAAGTGATGAAATTCTTCAAAACATGAAATTGCTCGAGAATTCAATCTCTGGAAACTTGTTAAAATTTTAGTTATTATTCAAACTGGCAAATTATCTAAATTTTACAAAATGAATGTTTCGAAATATATCATATTTGACTATGACGATAATAAAAAAAAAAAATATGAAGTTCCAGCATCATATCAATCCTACTGCCTGGTACTTTTTATTACACATAATTCTGGTTATAACGTTACCGTCGAAACATTAATAAAATGATTTTTATATTATGATTTTGAAAAAAAAACTGTCGATATTAGAAGATATGATATCAGATGTTGTTATAACTAGTGATGCAGGAGAATTAATTCTACATATTATATATAGAAATAATTCTGCAATTCTACAATGCAGTATGCAGTAGAATCGAAAATGCAGTAGAATCGAGAATGCAGTAGAATCGAGAATTGATCAATTAATTTTAGTAATTCTATGTACAAATGCATAGAATTCAGAATTGATAATTCTACAATGCAGTAGAATTGAGAATTGATAATTCTACAATGCAGTAGAATTGATTGTAGTATTAACGATCATATAATATACGCCAAAAGTTACATTTTTGATGTCTGTAATTCAAATTAAAATTTTCAATTATTTAACCTTTTTAATTAACTTACTAGATTATTAACATATTTCTATTTGTGGTCTATGAGGCATTTAAGTTTCACATAAGCCGGCATTCCATGAGTAATTAAGTTTGAAGTTATAAACGTCTCATTTATTTGCTTTGCAGCCCAAAACCTGCAATCTTCGATGATATTCTCTGAATGATAAGTTACTACGGTACAATATAGTAAGTTAATAAAGTCTAGCAAGGTTTTAATAATTAAAAGCTCTAATAAGGATTTAAAGAAATGAAGCCTAAAAGCGAAAATTTAATATTTATATGAGCCCGTCCAATAAATTTTTTTTAAAATCTAATTATTTAATAGTCTATTCAATTACAATTCTAAAAAGTGAAGATATTTGTGTTGTGATCCTAATGATATTTCATTAGTCTTAAAAACAATCTACTTATATATAATATTCTCATTCAATTATAATTTTAAAAAGGTAACCCAATTTTCTAACTCATTAAATGAATATAAAATAATTAAATCGATTTTATATAACAATCATCTTGTTTAATCGCATGTGTTTAAAAAATATTTATCTAATATGAAAATGTTTAATTTAATTACTTTTAAGATAACTAACTAGCACACTTTATATTTGATAAAGTATGAAAGTGTTCGAATTTAGTCGTTTATTTTCATTTAATGAACTATAAAATTGGTCCTAAGCTTTTTAAAAATTATAATTAAGTGGGGACTACAATGACATAAAAAAATCGGATTTAATATTAATGAAATAGAGTTAAGATATAATTAGGATCACAGCATAATTATCTTCGTTTTTTAAAATTGTAATTGAATAAGGCTATTAAATAATTAGGTTTTTTTTTCAAAAAAATTATCGGACGAGTTCATAGTAATAAAACGTCTATAACTTCAAATTAGTTACTCATAGAATGCCGGCTTATTTGAAACTTCAAATGCCTTATCGACCACAAATATAAATAAGCTGATAAATCTAGCAAGCTAATTAAAAAGTTTAATGAGTTTAACTTTTTCTTCTATAAAAATCCTAAATTTAAATCACATACGTCAAAAACGTAACTTTTGCATAGTATATGATCGGAAATTACGTCAATTTTACATGTAGAATTGTAGAATTACTAAAATTATTATGATCAATTCTCAATTCTACTGCATTGTAGAATTATTTCTACATATGTAGAATTAATTATCCTGCATCACTAGTTACAACCAGAGTAATGATAACAATAAACTGGGCTTTGCAGTGTGTATCGTTTCATTGATTTGTTATTTGCAATGTGTCACGTAGATTAAAAATGATCGATCTTACAATTTATTCCTTCCAAAACAAAAAAACAATGTTAGGTATTTTTAAAATTGTGTATGTAAATAAATAGAAATTTAATTTATGTATACTTTTATCTAAATTATGAATCCAATATATTATGTAAGAAAGATAGCAATCATAATCATATATACAACGTTCAATTGTACTTGGTGTTAATACGAATTCACGATGCTACACAGAAATTCATTATAAATATACTTCCACTCTATAGTTCGAAAAAAACTTCAAACCATTCAAATTTTACAAATAAATCGATAAACTTTTCAAACTTCTCGCGACGAAATGCTGTTGGAACCACTGAAAACGTGATGGTGATGCCATTAATCAATGCTCCATCATGCGTATCAAGATTACTGCTAGAATGCCCAGACTCGTGCAATTTAAATTGCATTTTTATGCGATATAATAACTTTTGGCTATGCGATATCAGTGCAAATAAAAATTAGGGGGAGATAAAGTGGATAAATAGATTTATTTTATTTCGATTTAATAATATAGTCGTATAATACAGTAATATCGACAAATAATCGGCGAAAGAACCATGCCGCAATCGTTAATCAAAAATTTACATACAGTATTACAATATTATGCGCATTAGTCTTTATTATGTTGTTTATCGTGCAAACTCTTACGATCATAGATTTTCCTTCTTGTATGTTATTACATAAGCACAACAATCTCGAATTAAAACTCAGCTAGTCAGTAATGACTTGTAAAGCATGATAATAATTTCACAATAACATCGATATTGAATCATGCGATAATAAATACCAAATTTTGTTCTGTCGAAACAAATGATTGGTTGCAATGTACCGCGCAGCGGCACATTGCAACCACCGACAAACAAAATTTTCATGGTATTACTGTAATCGTTGCATGACCAATATCTTATAAATATTAATTACTATTTACACGAATATCGCACTAGTCACATCAAAATAGATAAATTTATAACGCATTTTATGTCTAAAATGTAATTGCACAAGTCCGGACACTCTAATTACTACTCTGGGTACCAACGAAATACCCGACGGTGACGCAGTAAATCATTGTTTATTAACTCTTAAATGAAAATTGTTCCTGGGCCAATTTTACCATAATGCGGGCTTTTTTAAAAATTTCTATTTTTGTAATGAAAAAAATTAAAAAGTTAATTCCGGCCGGAAATTAGTAAACAATTATGTAATGTGGGCCAAAATTTTAAAGATCCTCGGCCGTTAGCAAATCAAAATCGAGGATCTGCCGTGCTAATTTTGTTGCGGCTAGGGTTGTAATAACTTACCCGACAATGTAACTTACATGACCCTATGTAGGGTTGTAATAACTTAACTTACATTGTAACTTACATCGTAAGTTACATGACCCTATGTAAGGGAACTGTCACTTATTACATAATTATAGCCAGTGTTGTCATGGGACAGCTTTGGACAATACTTTGGACAATCTTGGACAATTTTGGACAATTAAATAAAGTAAAATTACTTAAAATTTTATTAAGATAACCTATTTTAATTTTGATTGAAATGAATTCAGCACCTAAAAAAATATATAGTTATATATTTTTTAGACAGATTTATTAATTATTAAAGCCTAGACAAGCTTTGGACAATCTTGGACACTTGGACAATTTTGGACATGGACAAGTCAAAAAAGGCTTTGGACAGCCAAAATGTACAACACTGATTATAGCCCCTCCAGAGTCAGTCATTTGACAATTACAAGTTCTAAAGTAATCAATCGTTTGACAATTGCACAAGCTCTAAAATAACCAATCGTATAGAGTTCATATTATGATTACTTTAGAACTTGTAATTGTCAAATGACTGACTCTGGAGGGGGCTATAATTACGTAATAAGTGACAGTTCCCTAAGTTATTGGATAAGTTAAGTAAAAATGACGGGAAGGAAATTTTGCATATATAATGTCTAAAACCTGCTCTAACTTTAATCTAAGATAACCCTAACCCTAAGTTAATTTAATAAAATATATATTATAAGAATCTACTCCGCTTTAGGCGTCCCACAAAATAGAAAGATCTAAAGATGATCGTGATTTTGTAACGGCGGTTTCAATTAAACATCATATATCACAATTTATATAAATAATCTTTTGTCTCTTCAGCTATCATGTCACAAAATTTTATACTGTTCCCTTGTTTTTTCTACAAATTTTTACCCCTTGCCATATATATCAATTATTATTTTTTTTCTTGCATAATTTCTTTTTCCGAACTAACTCAGAATTTCTTATGCACTCCTTTTCTTCCAAGCTAGGATTTATTATATTTATGGCTTTGATAGTAAAACAATGTAATAAATGCAAAGAACAATAAAAAATTATTTATTGAGTTTTATCAATTCAATTCATTAAGATATTTTTGTATATTTATATTGAATAAACCAAAAGGAAAGTGACTTAATTGTAATTGATAGCATGAGCATTGTAATCAATATTATCTTAAATTTTCGCCAGGGGTGCAATTTCGAAATTTGGCCTCAAAATAACGTCTATGATCACTATTTTGAGAAGTTACAGTGAAGATTTTTTTAATGAAAAATTCATACTAATAGTGTGACCTTATCGCTCTTTTTTTTTAAAGAAAAAAAATTAATAATTCATGTTTAGGTATTTGCATGTTAAATTATGAATTAATATATTCATAGTAAATAATTTTGAGATTTGTCTCTCACCTATGGTGCATCTTACTGCTATGAACATACGTATTAGAGTTTGGAACCAGTTTTATTTTTCATATGTTAAAAAAATAAAATTGGTTCTAAACTCTAGAACATATATAAATATTTCATTTTTGTTGAGTATCGATTGGCTGTTAATATTTTGTAATTAATCGTTTTATTTGATTAATAAAAGATTCTAGGTTTATTGGAAGGGACTTATTTGTGAGGGAAAAAGATATTATAACTTTATTTTTATTTATTTTTGCAAGCGAATTTGCATTGCTTACATTACTATAAATAACAAATTTCTCTAAAAAATAGATACCAACAAACAGAATATATCTCATCGCAAGCAAGGTATCGCTGCCAATCACAATTTTCGAAAAATATTCTTTAGAGGTTATTTGAATGGCTTTTGCTGAAACAAGTGAATTGAAGTAGCTCATCACAGAATATGAAAGTTATGTCACTATTAAATATATCTATTTTTATATATTATTAACTCATTTAAATCGAAACTATCAGGATGTGGAAAAATTTCTGGAAATGAAATCGCTAATCAGAATAAGGTACAATCATATCGAAAAAATTTTCAGTTATTATTCTTCACAGTGATCAAAGTCATGTTTTTACCAAAGTTTTTATCTTATATTTATATTAGCAATTGCATCCCGGCATACCAAAGTTTTTATCTTATATTTAGATTAGCGATTGCATTCCCGGCACGTGCTTTGTTCCCAATAAAAATTCTATGACATAGGGCAAGAACGGTTACGGGCACAAAACGCCCATAGTATCTTGGATTCATTTTTCTATAGCAACCTTTTAGTTTTTTTAACGAAGTCAGGTAGCTTTTATAAATAGATTTGTTTGACTATTTTATTATTTAGATTTATAAATATGACCTTTTTAGATTATAATTGAAATAATTGAATTCATTAAATAGAAGACTTCAGAAAAAAGGATTTTGAGAAAAGGATCTTGTTTCAGAAATACTTGGCGATGATTAAGCATCTAGCGACCAACAATTCCTAAAGACAAAAATATTATTAAAAGTAGATTGCTTTGCAACATCACAAAAAGAAAAAACAGACAGAATAAAATAAATAAGGTAATGTGAATGACATGCTTTTAAGATATGAATTATATATCAGTATTTATTGGAAAAAACTTATCATTGATGGATTATTGGCGTTTATTTACGCAGACAAAAGAGCAAAAAAAAGTCCACATCTAAATTAATTAGCATAATTTTTTTCTAAATGTTTACTAGTAAAGCCATACCGAAAAGAAGTTTACATTACGTACGAAAGTAAATCAACCGAAATCCCAATATCCACTCATGGAGGTCCCCGATTGAACTCGTAGTTGAGGGTACATTTGACGGACGAATTTTAGTACGAAGAATACGAATTTTTTGAAAGTCCTTGGGAAGACTATTATAGTCCAGGTATTCAGTAAAGTAGTACTGTACGGCAGTATAGATTCAGACAGACTTACGAAAATTATACTAAATTTTGATCGTACGTACGGTTAATACATTAGACATCACTTTCAAATTTTCGTCAATAAATAATTTAAATGTAACGTACAAACATAAATCTAAAGTATGTATTTTTTAAAAAAAATTTTTATTGATGTTTTATTATTTTCTTTGCAAAATGGCTTGCTCATTCACTTTTTTTCGTTTCACCCTTTGAATAAATTGTTGACAGCTATGTGAATAGTCGAATGGCCGAAAAAAATGAAAGTATAATTGATTATTAAAAATATGATCGCTGTTTAGCTGTTTTAGAAACTCACAAAAACCAAGGTTCTTAATAGTTAAATTGGAGTTATCGATGAGTTGAATATTCAGTTGGATAAACATACTGTAATTATCCTATTGAAGATTTTATGAAACACGGTATCTCACAAACTCAATAAGACCTTTTCGAAATATCACGAAACATTTAATAAGAAATTGAATTGATTAAAATACAAAAAATAATAACAATTACTGTAATATGAAATAAAGCCTTTCTTGTTGTAAAAACAACGCTTTTCGTATTTTCCAATGTAGTTGAGTCGTATTCTGTTAAGCATTCTTTATATTTCAAAATTTTATGTATTAGTCTAGTGTTTTCAACTTCATTAAAATGTTTTTTTGT